AGGTCTCCAGTCCATCACAGGACACATGGACAACAACCATTCACTCTCCCATGCACACCTAGGGACAATTTAGAGTTAGCAATTATGAGGTTCCATTAATGCCAAAAATATGTTTATGTGTCTATGTGTGTATGTAGCATGCTGTGTATATGTAAAGTGATATGTTAAGTGACATGTTAATTGATGTTAGATGCATATGTTAAGTGATTTGTAAGGTGAAATGTAAAGTTATATCAGTTAACATATCACCTTACATATACACATCACACTACATTCACACTATACATAGACACAAACATATTGGAACCTCATAACCAATCAGCCTAACATGCATGATTTTGGTCTGTGGGAGAAAATTGAAGTACCTAGAGAAAACCCATGCATGAACGGAGAGAACATGAAAACTCCACCCAGAATGGCCCCTCGGACAGGATTCGATCCAGCAACCTTCTTGCTGAAAGGTGGCAGCTCTACCAACTGCACCACTGTCATTTATTAATCACTTGAAAATATTCACAGATGGCTCAAAGAACACCGGGGGGGGGGGGGGGGGGGATCTATATACCAGAGTTTTAAATTTGTATTTCCAAAAGAACATCAAACCAACTTTCAGTTTTCACAGCAGAAATGGTTGCAGTAAGCCTAGTGGATAGAGGAGGGTAGACCAGACAGGATGGTGGTATGTTCAGACTCAAAGGCTGTCAGAGAAAGCATGTCTAAAGGAAACAACAGGAAAGACCTTCTTCTAGAAATAAAGCCCATTTTATTCAGGTTGCACAGGGGTGGAATATGTTCAGTTTTGTTGGGTACCACACGAGAGGGTGGAAGGAAATGAGAGAGCAGACAAAACTTGCTAAATCAGCTTGGAAGGGTAAAATAAAAATTCCTATACTGTTAGGGATAGGAGAGGGTAAAAAATTAAAGGAAAAGAAATGGAAATTTGGCAGAAAAAGTGGAATGACAAGCAAAGAAGAAAATTATTCAAAATCTAATAATCAGTAACTATAAAGAATTATAGAGAAAGAAGAAGATGAGAATCAAAAAGCGTTCAATACAAAAACAACTGGACTTTATTTGTAACAGAAGACGTTTCGCTCTTCATCCGAACAGAATACAGGAACAGAAACACATCCAAGATGCTCTTCAAACATGCGGATATCCTAACTGGGCTTTTGTCAAGTCAGCGAGGAAATCTACAAAACATACTAATAAACAGAAAAAGGACAACAACAGATGGAAAAACATTGTCATCCCTTATGTTGCTGCAGTATCAGAGAAATTCAGAAGGATTTTCAACAAACACAACATCCCTGTACATTTCAAACCCAGCAGGACTCTCAGACAGAGGCTGGTCCACCCTAAGGACTAAACACCCATACACAAACAGAGTGGTGTAGTGTATGCGGTCCAGTGCAGCGAGGACTGTCCAGATCTCTACATTGGGAAAACTAAACAGCCTCTTCACAGACGCATGGCTCAACACAGGAGAGCCAGCTCCACAGGACAAGATTCAGCTGTTCACCTCCACCTCACAGATGTGATGGAGATTTTAAGGAACAGATGGCGAAATTAAGTGGCATTAGAAAAGCATTGTTTATATATTTACAGGAAGCCAAAGTCTGACCCACTGGTGTATGGATGTGATAAAGCACTGATTGTCAGTGAGTTTCCGAGGCTCAATGCTTTAGATATAAATAAAGGTTGAATTAATTATTTGTACAGATCTAGTAGAGTGCTGTATGAATGGGTAAATGAGGACACATATTGTATTGCAAAGCCCCTTGAGTATCTTGATAAGATAGAAAAACGCTATATAAGTGCAGTCCATTTACATAACATAAATATTAAAAGCAGAATTTAGAAAATGGAGGTTATGCGCCACTCAAGGTGGCTGCATGTTGGAGCAGCTCTGCTCCTTTCATTCTGAGATTTTGCTTTTGGAAACTTTAATTCCTCTTTTTTTCTGGATGCAAATCACATTTTGTGATGATGGTTTCCTCTGGTATCGAATGCTGTGCAGCTGGAAGGATTTTTACTGAAACTTTTTTAATTTTGGACATTTGTTATGATGCGTAACCATGGCAACAAGGCCGTTTTCTAAAACCAACATCAGCTGATTAACATCTCAAAAGCTCAAATAATATCTCAACTCCAGCCCCAAATCTCAAATGAGTTGAAAAGGATGTTCTGTGGACGCATTCTCATCTACCTGCCAGCTGTGCTCGAGTGCCTGACCATTGAGATCCTGGAACTAGCAGGAAACACGGCTCATGACAGCAGAAGGACGGGATCGTCCCCACAGTTGGCTGTCCGCAGCGACGAGGAGCTCGGCAGACTGCTGGGAGTGGCTATTGCTCTGGGAGGAGTTCAGCCCAGCATTCGGGCAGTCCCCTACAGCCCAGGGGAACCGAGAGGCCAGCGGGTGGACGGATCGGACGGCGTCTGCAGCCAGTTTCTTAGGATCCTCTGTGGGATGGACCTTTACAAGAGATCCTTCCTGCCTACAGCCATCAGCATCTATAACATTCTGAGGATAACGAGTTACAAGAAAAAATAATTTCCCTTTGGGATTAATTAAGTATTTTTGAATTGAATTGAATTGAATGAGGTTATACATTCATGCTCAGTAGGTGGCAGTATGCACCTGAACGTTGTTTGCAATCCGCCATTAAGTAAAAGAAGAAGAACTGTCCTTGTAAAAGATGCACCGAACATGTGAGTTTTACATCCTGTTTTCGTTCCTAAATAGAAACTAGAACAGCTGTTTTAACAATGTTGTTTTTGGCGTGTAATAAGTAAACTTGCTGGGTGTCCTAGGTGGGCTAGTTAGCTGTAAATGAACTGGAAACATGCGCGGACCTAACATGACCCGGCTTGGTTTAGTCATGTTTAGTTTTCTGTTTGTACCCATCGTTTGTACGGGAACGTTTTGTTTTATTCCTTCATTCTCGCTATTTTCACAATAAAACAAGTCACATTATTAATGTCGCGAGACACCAGCGACAGAGCGGGGGTTGAGAATTCACGAGGGGAACCAATTGCAGCATAACACCAAAGCACATAAACTTCCAGACAGTGCAGTCTTGTCTATGTGCTTGTTTTATTTGAATTACAATAATTAAAAATGGTATATTTCAAAAGCCATTAAAAGTATTATTTATCAGGACTGTTAGAAAACTCGAATTTAAAGGTAGAGTAGGAAGATTTTATGATATTTTAGAGATTGCTCACATCTCTGATGGACCCATTTTAAATTACAGCAAAAATCAATATGTTCAAAAATATATTATAAAATATTATCAAAAAGAAATGCTTATTTCTTTTTTATTTTATTTTTTGCACTGCCTGCTCTCATTCCAATTAATTTTGCCAACTCAGTTGTCAAACAATGTGGTTCTTCGTTATAAGCCAACAAATACAATTTTCTATTAAGACTTGATCTCCTTATTTATACGATTCAAAGCAGATTCATCATCATTTTTTTCTCCCTTGCAGATCTAAAGGACTGAAGCAGCTGAAAAATATAATCAGACAAAACAAAAACTGACGATGGCATCTCGCTTCCTTAAATTCTCCGTCCTCCTTCAGAAGTACCGGACTCGGGTGGTTGTTGCGAGCTGTGGAGGAGTCTTTGCAGCAAACTTGTTCTGTCATGTTTTCCCGGACCTGACCTACCGTCAGCTCTACCAGGCCTGGAGTAAAGGAGAAGCAGAGGAACTGACGGAAAAGCTGGAGAACCTCTTTCAGCAGGTAGTACCAATTGTTTGGCATTCCTATTTTTTATTTTATTTTTGGGTTTCACTTAAATACACTTTTTAGAATAAACTTTGTGCAGCTAAGTATTGAAGTAAGTATTGATTGGTCTCATTTGACGTTCTCTGTTGCACTTTTGACATCATAATCACAGATTACTGAAAAAAATTAAAGTGATAAAAGTATTTTACATTTAAAATAACATATTGGGGGCCAGATAAGATGTCAACGAGGGCCACATTTGGCCCCCGGGCCTTGAGTTCAAAACATATTATTTAAAAGTACTAGATTTAAGCAATAGGATTTATGGCTGTGGGAATGCTACTAGAATTGTTTGCATGTATGTGTTTTTATTTATTTATTTATTTTACAATTGCTTAGAAAATAAGAAAAGTCTACTTAAGATCCAAATCTGGCATTTTTTTAAGTTGCAGTACACACAAAATGCATTGTACTTCATTAAGCATGAAACTGGTTTAGATAGATAGATAAATAGACACTCACTCACTCACTCACTCACTCACTCACTCACTCACTCACTCACTCACTCACTCACTCACTCACTCACTCACGTACTTTACTTACTTACTTACTGGTACTTACTTATTGGTATTTACTTACTTACCGTTACTTACTTACTGGTACTTACTTACTTACTGGTATTTACTTACATACTTACTTACTGACTTACCGGTACTTACTTACTTACTTACTTACTTACTTACTTACCAGTATTTATTTTCTTACTTATTGGTGCTTACTTACTGACTTACCGGTACTTACTTACTTTCTTACTTACCAGTACTTATTTACTTACTTATTAGTACTTACTTATTTATTGATTTACCGGTACTTACTTACTTACTGACTTACTGGTACTTACTTACTTACCAGTACTTATTTACTTACTTACTTATTGGTACTTACTTAACTGGTACTTACTTACTTACTTACTTACTTACCAGTACTTACTTACTTACTTATTGGTACTTTCTTACTTATTGACTTACCGGTACTTACTTACTTACTTACCGGTACTTACTTACCAGTACTTACTGTATTAATCCCAGGGGGGAAATTTGTCATTCAAAATGCGGTTTAATCAAATCCATCGTCCTGTGTCGACTGTTTGTAGGTGCTGAAGGATTACGGGGTCAGATCGTCCAAGAATTTCTCAGCCTTTGCCTGCTTTGGTTTCCATCCATTGGGTGCTGGCATCCCTTGGCTTCCTGCAGGGGCCAAAATTGGCATTCCAGCTAATTTTAACAGCACTCCTGATGACCCGAGTGGAATTACCAATCGTAACATCTGCATTAACGGAAAAACTGTGGACTGCAGCACTGAGGCTGGCTGTACCCTGAAGGAGACGCTGCTGTTTTCCTTCGATGCGCAGAAGTTTGCAGTGGCTCGAGAGGTGGCTCGCTTGCAGTCAGGAGGAACTATCATGGGTGCTGCTGTTGCTCCGCTCTGCCTGGCTGGGGTCTGGGTGTACAGCGTGGTGCTGAAACAGGTGTTTGGGCTGCACGGCAGCCCCTTGCTGTTTCGTGGGGTTGCGAACGTAGTGGCTCTGGGAATTGGCGCAGTTTCTTACATCCTCACCTCGGACGCTGTGAGCCAGTGGCTCGACTACCACTACGACAGACGTGCAGCTGGAGTGTCTCGCGAATACGCTAAAGGTGGAGTTGAGTTTTATGATAAAATCCTGTCCAGAAACAAGACTCTGCGCTCACTGATGGGGCAGAAGGGAAAGGAGATGTTTGCACCCAGTGGGAACTTGTTTCCCTCTAATGTCCTTCAGCTGAAACATACACCATACACGTCCAGGACGGAAGGCATCCTCGCACTGCTGAAAAATGAGAAAACATGAAAAAATAGAAATGTGTAATTGTACAGATTAAAGTACTGTAAATTTTGTGTGAAAATCGGTCAAAACAATATAAAAAATAAACTAAAGAGATCTCTAATTTAAAAGGGAGTGATGCTAAACGAAAAAATGAATCCTGCATGAACTCATTGGTAAGCTGACATAAATATAAGCAGGGCTTCATTTGGGAAGTTGAGTTCTGATTTTGTATTTATTTGTTTTACTTTTCAGGTGCATGTCCGGTATATGGACTTAAGGCATCAGCATAGTGATCCAATACCAGTTTTCGAGGTCTGATCTGTTTTTCTCACAGTGATGGGATGCAGCAGGGCACATAAAGATGGCAATGAATTGCTAACTAACATGCATCATAAACACCTCAACATGATGGGAACAAAATAATAATTTGGAATTGTATGAATGAGAGATCATTTGTGAATTTGTTGGGAATCTGAAATGGAAGGAAGTGCAGGTTAGACACTGAACGGCGCCCTCTGCTGGTTAAATATAGTCAGAATTAAAAAGCTCAGATAAAAAAATAATTCTGTTTTCATTCAACCTTTATTTATACAATACCATACCAATTTATTTATAAAGCACTTTAAACAGTGACAAAGCACACCAAAGTGCTGTACAGGGACAAACAGAACAAGCACACAGCAACAGATTACATAACAGGACACCAAAAAGTAGAAACCGACAAAAACAATAATGGTTAGTCTCATTGAGTCTTGAGGACTCATTTACAAGAGAGACCTGTTTTTAACAAATAATGATAACAGTGGACAACAAAAACAACAGACAATCATAAAAGAGCATATAAATGAAAGACGATAAAAATAAAAAGCTACATTGCAAAGCGATGTAGAAAACTAAAAACAGGAACATGTCTGCATTGATTTTTGCCATGAACTTAACAGACGATTGAAGCCACTTAGAGAGGTCAAGGTCGAGAGCTTCAGACGTTTTTCAGGATATTCCCGGAAACGGGAGCAAAGTAGGAAAAGGCCCTTTTGCCTAGTTCAGTCCTCACTGACGGGACACTGCATGTAATAATGTCCTGAGAGCGCACGCTGTAGCTGCACTCACACAGTGACATGGAGAAGGAGATGTATGAAGCAGCAGGCCAGGAAGTGATTTCATTCAACCTTATACAGGTTAATCCCATTGAGCCTCGGGGATTTAAAGATGAAAGTGTACCAGTGAGAGAGTCTGCGCAAAGTTAATGATGACCAGTTAACCGGTGAATACATGGTGCAGTGATGGGTATGGTAGTTACGGCCAGTTATGAATCTTAGCGCGCCATGATGGGCAGCATCCAACATCTGCAGGGTGCTTGTAGGAGCGTTCATGTAAATAATGTCTCAATGGAGGGGAGGAAAGTCGTCGGCGTTTAGGCCAAGTTTGAGACGGAACAAATCTGACTGGATAATGTCGAAAGTGGATTTCAAACGCTGTCAAACCTTAGCAAATGTTTTAGCTCGACAATAAACATCATCAGCATAAAAATGTAAAGATGCATCAGGGATGATCTGACATACAATGTAGATTGTGAAGAGGGTGGGTCCTAAGACTGAGCCTTGTGGTACACCATTGTTAACCATTAACTGGAAGAAGTATCATTATGTTGAACACATTGCCTCCGATCTGAGAGACAGTTGGTGAACCAAGCAATGGTGTGATCTGAGAAACCAATTTCTGAGATTTGTTTGATGCTATTAAATAATATGTTTAATTAAAATGTTAATACAGCTCCTAACGTAACATTTTTTTGTTCCTTTTCAGTAGAGGTCTGCTTAGTTTATTCCGGCATGTATGCAAACTGTCGGTGAAACAAACAAAAGAAGCACTAATTTTGAATAAATATTGTGACACACTTGATAATGACAAAAAAAAAAAAATCTTATTTTCTCATTATCAGAATTCTTTTTTTCACAGGGATGGAAGAGGAGGCACTTCAGTGCTTCTAACATTGAGCTGACCTTAATTTTGAAACGTTCACAAGCTCAGCTTAATGTTTCTTTGCAGATGCCTGCAGAAGAGCAGAAGCTCGATTAAAGTGAAACGCCCTCGTTTATCGTGAGCTCTTTAATTATATAAGCACTCTGTAAAAGGCAGTACAAAGCTGTACGAAAGAAGGAAAATGCATTGGATTATTGCAGAATTGTGTTTTTGGGACGCCTAAAGTCATGATGATTCTCTGATTTTCATCATTTATTTTTCTGTTTGTTCTCACTGCATGTTTAAAACCTCATATTGTCACTCACAAATTATAGAAAGAGACATTCTGGTACCTTCTGCAGGTCAAAAACATTTGGTTTAAAAACTGTTGCACACTAAGGATGCAGGATTTGCATTACCCAGATAAACTGCTTAGTGATAAAACTGTTAATCTGCAGCTTTTTGTGACTCAGACGTCCTCATGCAGTTCCTGTTTTTCCCTCGGGTCATTCATCTGCATATTAACAAGATTCACATTTGCAGCTTTAGTTACATTTCCAATCGTGCTCCCTGCAGACTAAATGTAGAAGCAGATAATTACATTTCAGATAGACGTTATGTTACAGTATATCATTTCCCTTTGAAACTGATCTATTTGGCAGAAATTCATGTTCAGCTTTTTCCCCATTTGATGGAAAATTCTGTGATAAAAATCTAAACATTTAGAACAAACGAAGGCCTAGCACTTTTTTTTTTAAACAAATGCCTATAGCCCGTTGAGGTTTAGACCATCCTGTGCTGACACCCAATTTTTGGCATGTCATGTTTTGTAAAAAAAAATTGTTCAAGAACTCTATTCTGAAAGAAATATAAAAAAATGAACTGCTGTGTCCACTTCATGATTTACCTAAATACAAAGTGGTCTTTGAAATATTCATCTGAGCAACACTGGGCTTATTGTCTTGTCTGCACTTCATCAGCTTACCTCATTGTGAGCCGACATAGCTTTTAGCACAAAAGCCCATTGTTTGTTGTGTTTTAGCAGCTTTCCTTTTGAACCACTTGAGGTCAGTACAACCCACATTACTGGTCTCACCATTTAGGCCTTGTCATTCTTATGCATTGTTCATGAATGACTGGGCAGCAGATTATTTTTGAATGAGCAGCCCTGGGCTTGAAGGGAAATAAATGATATCAGTTTTATGATGTCGTTTTAAAATTACGAGCATATTGAATGTCATATTGTGATTTATTCTGACATTCTGAGGTCTGGAGCGTAGGCCTTTTCAAAATAAAATACACTTTTGAACAGACGTGTGTTTGCATCAGCGCCAAATTATGACCTGCGATTTCTCTGCAAAGTAAATTAAATTTATTTCCTGTGTTTTATTTTTCTTGTTTTATGTATTTATTTAATTTGTTTATTTTTTACTAGCTACGTCTGTATATGTGTACTTTATAGACCAGAGTTCAATTCATTCAGGAAATAGGTGCTTTGACTTTTGGGTTTGTAATTTAATAATTTTAAAAATATTTATCCTAATTTACAAAACATTTACCACATTGAGATGGGGTTTATAGAAAAGGTGTTTTTGTATTCCTATATGCTATAAATTTTTAGCTACTATTTTGCTACTGTTTGCATAGGCCTTTGCTAATTTTATCTTTTAGCAATTGTTCTATTTTTAACTAGCACTTTTGCTACTTTTCCAATCTTTCTATTGTTTATTTTACTATTAGCTTTTAGCCAGACTTTTGCTATTCTTGCCAGTCTTGTGAAGAAATGGTAAAAAAAAAGAAAGAAAAAAAAAAGTTTGCTGTTCAGAGGGCATAAAAGCTTTGATATTGCTTAAATCTTTATTTTATGAAACAATGCTAAATTTGCTTCTGCACTTATGGTTTTTATGTTTTCATTCTATAGCATTACAGGTAATTCTACTTAATTCACTAAATAATGTTAACACATACTGTAATGGTCAGTTAAAATGAGCTTAAAGAATTTCAAAATTATTGAAGTACCACCTTAAATATGTAATAAAACACAAAAGTAATTTAAATCTAAATATAAAGAAAGGATGAGCGAATAATAATTTTAAAAACTGATAAAAAATCAGCACAATATATATATATACATATATATATATTTTTTTTTTGGTGTGCTTGGATTTTGCAGGCTAACCTGAGCGCGTTCGAAAACACAAGCGCGCCTCTCACTGATAGGCCCCGCCCCTGTGCGCTCGCCTTACGTCATGACGTCAGCGTACAGCTCGGTTGCTGTGTTGCTGCAAGGCAGGCAAGCAGCTGCAGAGACAGATCAAGGGAACGCTGACAACAACGGACCGACCCATATTGGAATAGTCAGAAACGCAACATTTTCCTCCTCTTTACGTCCAACCGCTATTTTTCCCCCCTGCAAACTGTACGTTTTGATGCCTGCGTGGAGGTTACGTGTGTCATTCTCACGACCTGAAATGACTTGCTAGGCGCCGCGTCTAGCCAATGCTTACTGCGGGGGCTCCTGTTCTGTGGATTATCCGTCGTCGCGGAGCCAGTCGCATGGTCGAGCCCGGAGGGAGGCCCTTCTCTCTGCTGGATGGATGTGTGTGAAGCACCGCCGAGCTCCGAGAACTAATGAAGACGGGGATAATAGTCAAAGAGATGATGCTCGGCTTTCATCGGCGCTGCGTGAACTGATCTTGGATGTCCGGGCTACGTCGCCCCTACGTTTTCTCACACGGCAACACTTAAAATTCCTTAAAAACTGGACGCCCCTGGAGCAGTTTATGACGGTAATTCACACAGCACCAGTTTCTAAAATCCTCCTCTGAGCCAGCTGACGTTAGCTAGCTAGCTTAGCACTGTCACTTTTATCCAAGTTGCTCGCCGCACAGCTAACAGCTAAGTGTTGGGGAATTCAATGACTGAGTCCTGTTAGCTCTCGGCGTGGCGTCACCTCTGTTGGCTTTAAATATGTCATGTTTTAATCCCCTAACGTGTTGCTGTCTAGGTGTATGTTTAATGTATGGCAGGGACGCTTACAGCCGTTAGTGAAGACGTAGTTTCAGTTTGATTTGGACGCTGCTGGGTAAATAAAGCGCTCGTGTTCATGTCACATTCTGGAAATGTCACACGACAAAAAAAAAAAAAAAAAAAAAAAAGGCCTGTATGGATAAGCTGCTTACACAGACCCGGGATTTTACTCGCCCATTCATTAATAATCGTCTTCATTTCGTGAAGTAAATGATTCAATTGGTCGGCTAAACGAGAGGTGCTTTTATTTTGGATGGGAAGGTTTGCTTGCTGTGATGAGGCGTCCTCCTTTTTTTTTTTTTTTTCTCGATGACGTAATCCCTCACGGTCCGTGCCACATCTTTCGGGTCGCAGTTGGTTCCGCTGCTGCTTGCTGCTCACATCATATGTATGGTTCTGGTTTTCTGGCCTCTGGGGTCCCTTTTTTTTTTTTTTTTTTGCCACATAAAGTCATTTTGCAATTTGCCTTGAATGGAGCATCACTTTGAGGGACAGGGAGCTTTTTTCTTTTTAAAACGAGGTAGCATTTGATTCAGGGCTTACTAAATTCACCACAACACCTTCCACTCAATATGGTAAATGAGCCCTCGAGGCTCAATGAGACTAACCTGTATAAATACAGGTAGAATGAATCGTGTTTCTAACCTGCTATTTTACTATTACATTTCTTAATTTTAAACTAAACTTAACAGAGAACTCAAGAAATGCACCTCCTGGCCACAAAAGTTACCTTCTTATTGGCTTAATATGGCAACTAGTGGTTCAAGCCACAGCTGATGCAGCTAGAAGCCTCGCAATTCACAAATAACCCTTTTGAAAGACGCACTTTGTGGTGAGAAAGTGGTTCTTTTCTTTCAGAATGAACTGCTGGTTCAAGCTAAAATGATTTGCTTAATCTACTAAAGTAGAAGGTAGACATGTACAAAGTGTTGTTGTGTATGTATATATATATATATATATATATATATATATATATATGACTAGACAATTTTAATGAAACTTGCAGAAAGCAATCATTACATGTCTATCATTGAATAATTTTTGGAGACAACCCAAGTCAAGATGATTGCCACATCTAGTTATTATTTGTCAACACAAAAATTACAATAACTCAGTGATTTTGAGATAAAATATTGAAATGTCTGTAGCTGAGACATCTTGTGATGTTGAACGCACATGTGCATAATGTTATTTTTAAGATTTGACCACAACTCAGCCATGCTAAAATGAAAGTTGGCAAGTGATATGCATTCTTTTAAGTAATGTTTTAAAACTTATTTATTATGTGGTTGTAAAATGATAAATGATTGGGATCATAGATCCAATACTTGGTGAAATCTAACCAAAAAATTCAACAATTGAGATCAAGATAATGTTTTATATTATTACTATTTTTGCATTTCACATCTACAATGTGTAAAGATGTCGACAAGAAATCATGAAGCTTCATTGGTGTGGTCATTGAGGTGGGGTGGGGGCGTTAGGATACAGTTTGCTAGAAAGCAAAAATATACAATTTTACAACAACAGAGAAGATAATGTATCTCCTGATTCAGAGTGATGGATGGATCAGGGCAAACAAGTGCCATGATTAAAGAGAAAACATGATTTTTCATGATTTTTTTGGTTGTTCAGTGTAGTGGTCATGGCCGCAGGTAATGTGATGCATTGTTTTGTATAATTTTCTGCTCGGTTTGGTGAATCAAGTTCAATACGTGGTCGACTTTAAAAAACTAAGTGATTTCAAAGGTAATTTTTAATTGATTCCCAACTTTCATATTCAGTAGTTGTATCATTTATTGTTCTGAAGGTTATCACAATTAAACTGTTATCTGGACATGTAGTTGCTGCAGGTTATGAACTTTTGCCTAATTTTGAACAAAATATCAAATTTTCATCCATCCATTATTTTTTTTACCCACTTTTTCTTTTTCGGGTCGCAGGGGTCACTGGTGCCCATGTCCAGCTATCACTGTGCGAGAGACGGGGGACACCCTGGACAGGTCCAGTTCATCACAGGGACACACAGAGACAAACTCTCTCACTCACACCTAGTGACAATTTAGAGTTACCAATCAGCCTAACATGCTTGTTTTTGGTCTCTGGGAGGAAACCCGAGTATCCGGAGAAAACTCACGCAATGCACAGAGAGAACATGCAAATGTCACCCAGAATGGCCCACTGGCTAGGATTCGGTCTGGTGATCTTCTTGCCAAGAGGCGGCAGTTCTACCAACTGCACCACCGTGCTGCCATCTTTTTATAATTGTTGTTTTTGTTGTGGACAAGCCTTGAGGCTGAGAGTTGCTACTTTTCTTGTGATCCAAGACTTTGTTCCATCCTATTAGCTTCTGCCATATATTTGTTAAAATCAAGTTGTAAGAATTAGTTCTCGCTCCAGAGAAGAAGAACTTACTCCTTTGTATGCCCCTTGGTGTGGTAAATGACTTCTTTCTGTACAACTGATGGCAGTTTTATTGTTCCTTCAAATACAAGAAGGGAGATTTTGCTCTTAAATGGAAAATTAGAAATTTAACTGCTAATGAAGCCAAACCGAAAGCCAAAATAAAACGAAACCACTGGGGGCAACCAAAGTAATGACTGGAAAACAGGGTATCTAATTTTCAAAAAAAATAATGAACAAAAATGAAGTTTAAAACACCCGCACTAGTTGCCACATAGATGGTCCTGTAAAGCTGTAACACCCACATAATGGTCAACAAAATTGGTCCCAGTAAAAAAGTGCACTCTAGCACAAACTCTGCATTTAAGAAGTGAATGAACCCGTGTCAAAGGAAGAAAGATGGAGACGATGGGGACGAGAAATACAGAGGAGGATAGAAGGGACACAGGTGTGGCAGGGGTAATTGGACTGAGCTGCACCTGTAAGGGGGGGGGGGGGGACCAAAGGGGTCCTGTATGAGAAGCTTTGAAATAGAAAAAAAACAAACAAAAAAAACTATCACTGAGACGGATAGAAACGTGTATCTACTGTAGAATTCAACACATTTCTGTCCCCTGTGACTGACTACCTTTAGCTATAGGCAATTTTTTCCTCAAGCTGGTACAGCTGGTCATCAGAGAGGTCACTTAAACCAATCTCCTTCAGCTGTTCAGTGGGTTGAGACAGAAGGCTGCTGGTCATAACTGTTAACCACAGCTCAGCAGGTAGAAATTGGTGGCGGTTTTGCCAAAATTGCCAGCTAATTCATTTTGAAGCCGAGCATCTTTTTTCGCCATTAATGTGGCCTCATTAGGCCATCTGTTGAGACGCCACTGAGTACACAACCAATCACCAAGACTTTTCTTCATGTAGTTTATTTTTTTCCATTATTGTAAAATTAAACTTATTAGCAAACCCAACGTAGTCGATTTCATGTAGTTTGAAAGAAAATTAGATGTTATTAATTGAGCCCGGGTGCTGCCACAAGCCTTTACCTCACAGATCTGTGCTTCCCTCGGTGCTTAAAGCATACAAGCAATGCTTTGAATTTTGATAGAAATTAAGTTTTTTTTCTCGAGTTTATCTTTACGCTGCTATTACAGGTGGAACCTTGAATTGTTCCAGAAATTATAGGCCAGATGCATGAAGCCTCCTGGTTGAGCATCAAGAACTGTCTTCTACTTTATTCTTGAGTCTATAAGGATGAGCATAGCATGTCCGGCTGCACAATATTTACAACTATCTTCTTTTAAATGTCAGTGTTCATTATCAACATAGCAAGGTACTGCAATAAATCAGACCAAAACCAGTACTAACAATATATTTAGTAAACAAATGGATCCCCACTCCTAAACACCCACAGCTGATTTAGAAAAGCGTAGCTGAAATGCTAAAGAGTGTTGGGAACGTGGTGACAGCAGAAGAAGAGAAGCATGAGGGACACGTGGTTGTATTGCAACTGATGCTCTCATCACAATATTGAACACTGAGCAATACATCACCCATGTGCAATAGTTAATCAAACAGAATGCTACTGTATTGCCAAAATCAATTGATTGTACATATTGTAGTGCTTATAGAGCTGCCATATTTTTATAATACATATGTGTGCTACAATATTGCAGTTGCATGTTTTCCTAATATTGTGCAGCCCTGATAACATGTTGGAGAATGCACAAAAAAATATTTGTGGTACTGATGGTATATCAGCAAGTAAATCTAAAACACAATTTTCTTGTTTTCATAAGATATTTTAGGACGTAAGGCTGATTTTATCTTGTTCTGTAAACACACAAGTGCAGAAAAGTATATTTTATTCTTTAGAGTTGTCTTTCCAGGATTTCCTTCATTACTGCTACCTTCTCATGTTTCTGTTTTGAGTCATATTATTTGCCCTTTCTGCTAAAGCAAATTTATTCTTAGTCTCAAAATTGGTAAGACACGCCCTCTCCCCTCTAATACTGACAGCTTAGTGTTAACTGCCAGCATTGGTAAGAAGAGTGCTGCCGGGCTGCTGCAAGCAAGATACATTATCAGGCTAAAAGATGCAAGCAGTTGGGTATCTTCCATTCAAATGCTTTGAATCATTGCCAGGAGGTTGCACAGTGTACCCCTTCCATACATTCATCTGTTTATTAGGTGTTAATCTAGAACTACCTAATATATTTTGGGGTGCACCAATTGCAGTTTTTTGGCCGATCACCAATTTCTAAAAAGTCTGACCTGCCGATACCAATTTTCTTTTATAAGCGATACTGTCAGATATTATAAGGTCACATATGCACCTTCAATTTTCCAATCTTATTTTATTGAAAAA